TGGTAGCCAAGGTTACCAGTGGTCAAGGTGTAGGTGACCGAGGCTACCGCTGGTCAAGGTACAGGTGGCCGAAGCTGCTGGTAGCCAAGGTTACCGGTGGTCAAGGTGTAGGTGACCAAAGCTACTGGTGGTCAAGAGTAGAGGTGGAAAGGGCTCAAGTGCTCAAGGCTACCAGTGGTCAACGTACAGGTGGCCAAAGCTACTGGTAGCCAAGGTTACCGGTGGTCAAGGTGTAGGTGGCCAAGGTTACCAGTGGTCAAGGTAGCCAAAAGTCCAGCTGGAAAGGGCTCAGGTGGTCAAGGCTACCGGTGGTCAAGGTACAGGTGGCCAAAGCTGCTGGTAGCCCAAGTTACCGGTGGTCAAGGTCCAGGTGGAAAGGGTTCAGATGGTCAAGGCTACCAACACTCAAGGCCTGAGTAGCCAAAGGTGCAGGTGCAGAGGGCTCAGGTGGCCAAGTCGCCGAGGTACAAGTGGCCAAATTTCCAGGTGCTCAGGGCTGCAGGTAGCCAGTGGTGTTGGTGGCCGAAGTACAGGTGGACAGGGCTACCAACAGCAGGTGGCCCAGACTCTTGCTGGCCCAGCTTTAGGTAGCCAAGGCTGCAGGTGGCCGAGGTACGGCCCACTGACCACAGGTGGTGGCCGAGGCTGTGGGCAGAGGGACAGGTGGACAAAGCTCCAGGTAGCCAAGGCACGAGCAGAGCTCTGGTCAGTGGCCAAGGCTACTGGTGGCCAAAGTAGAGGCTGAGCTGGCCACGGCTAGCAGCGGTCAAGGCGTCGGTTGGTCAGCTCGTGGTTGGCCAGGGGTGGTGTTGGCCGGAGCTGGCATTGGCCGAGGGTCCAGCTGGCCAACCCATGGCTTCAGTTGACCAACTCGAGTGACCGAGGCTACCACTGGCCGAAGCTGCGGGTAGCCAAGCTGCTTTTGGCCAGTTGGCCAAGAGTCCAGGTGGCCAAACTGCAGCCAGCCAAGGCTATGGTTGGTCAAGGCTACAGTTGGTCAACCTACCACTGGCCAGAGGTCCAGTTGGCCAAATTTTGGCCAACCAAGGCTGCCATTGGCCAGAGGTCCAGCTGGCCAAACAAGGCTACCACTGGTCAAAGGTCCAGTTGGCCAAACTGTGGCCAGCCAAGGCTACCACTGGTCAAAGGTCCAGTTGGCCAAACTGTGGCCAGCCAAGGCTGCCGTTGGCCAAGTTGGGCAGTGCTATTGTTGGCCAGTAGCCGAGGTTCCTGTTGGCCGAAGCTCCGGTTGACCAACCTACCCTTGGCCAAAGCTTCAATCGGTCGAGGCTACCAGTGGCCAAACCTTGCACTGACCAAGCGTTCCGTTGGCCAGTGTCCAGTTGGCCGAGTTTGCCGCCGGCCCATCCCCGCGGCGGGCGCGTCGTGCGGCGCCGCTCTTCTGCCACGCCCTGGGGTGGACGATCCTGGGGTGCTCCGGCCATGCCAGGGGTGTCCTGGGGGTGCTC